ATCTCCTCATGGAGAACAAAGGTATTCACTTAACTAGTTTTCTTGGTGTTTTGCTTCTTGCTATAGGTAATTGACCGGAAGAGTAAGAGACTCGTGGAAGAGTTGATAGACTCAAAGATTGTTCTCTCCATGAGAGCTATTTATCAGTCAAAAATTGGACTTCGACTTATGGATCAAGGTAAACTATTTAGGATACTTCTCAAATGCACATGACCCATTCATGTCCTCGCCTTGACGCTACTCTAACAAAACAACACAATTTTGTATGTTTGATTGATCTTCTTGATCCAGGGGCAAAGGAGATTCTGCAGAGACTTTCTGAGAAGCAGGGGAAGAAAATGAGCTCTGTTGAATCCGCACAAAAAATACCACGCTTTCTCGAGTTCTTTAAGGCATGGAAAGTTACTATTTATTAAGCTATAATGTGTTGCTTTGTTTTTTGGTTTGGAGTTGAGATTTTTTGTCTGTTTCAGGATCAAATAAACATGGCTGAAGTCAAGTATCCTCTGCAGCATTTTAAGGTATGCATGGGATCTGATTTATAGCCTCAACACTCCTAAATCTAAATGTGTATAGTTCTTAGACTCACAGTATTAGCAAGTGACTAAAAGGAAGGATGATTTTTTACTTGCAGACGTTCAATGAGTTCTTCATCCGGGAGTTGAAACCTGGTGCAAGACCAATTGCTTGCATGAAAGGCGATGATGTTGCCGTATGTGCTGCTGATTGTCGATTAATGGCATTTCAGTCGGTGGAGGATAGTACCCGTTTCTGGATCAAGGTAAAATGGTATCTAGGGTAGCTTACTATATACTTATCATTATTATGCAAGAGTAGAGAACTCTCAAAACAAATAATGTAGCTGATAAGTTGCAACACATCTTAATGTTTTTGTATTCATAGGGCAAAAAGTTTTCAATAAGAGGCCTTCTTGGGAAGAGTACTGTGAATACAAATGCCTTCCTTGATGGATCTTTGGTGATATTCCGACTAGCACCACAGGTACGACGAGACTGGATAAGAAATACGATTCATAGGATAAAACACCACATATATAGTTCTTTTTTTGTTCCCTGTTACACTGACACATTTCTTGAATATTTGAATATTACAGGATTATCATCGGTTTCATGTCCCTGTCTCTGGAGTCATTGAAAAGTTTGTGGATCTTTCTGGAAGCTTATATACAGTATGTGTCTGCCTTTACTTAGTCCAAGATTTCCTCTCATCTCCATCATGTTTTCTTATGAGACTCACATAATTGTTTCCTTGTTGAACTACCTTGTAGGTTAATCCGATTGCGGTCAATAGCAAGTACTGTAATGTATTCACGGAAAATAAACGAACCGTTGCAATTATATCAACAGCAGAATTTGGAAAGGTTAGATTCTGAAACCAGTTTACAAATGGATCAGAAATAATGATAATATGTAGAGTATAAATTCAAGGTCAGCTAATAAGTATGTAACAGGTTGCTTTTGTTGCAATCGGTGCGACAATGGTTGGTAGCATAAATTTTGAGAGAAAGGAAGGAGAACATGTGAAGAAAGGGGATGAAGTAAGCAGTTTCGACTATTCTCAAGAAACACTTGAAGAACATTTGTTCTAACTTCATTTTATCTTGCAGCTTGGTTATTTTTCATTTGGTGGAAGCACAGTTATATGTGTCTTTGAAAAGGTTAGCGACTTAATTGTATATAAATCTTTAACTCTCAAGAACACTTTTATGCTTTTATAGACTTTCACTGTTTTTTTTAATCAATCTGAATTGACTTTTCGTTTTTCACTTAACACATTTTTGCAGGACTCGATCCGGATCGATGAGGATCTCTTGGTTAACAGTGGTAGGTCCTTAGAGACATTAGTGAGTGTTGGAATGCAATTAGGTGTCTCCACAAGGACATTTGCTAGGTCTACATTGACCTAAAAATCAGAGACCATTTGGTTTGATTTGATTTTCCTCTTGTTTCATGCATAATAACTCTGTATATAACCAAATGAAATCTCCTCGGTATTATTTATACAATGAATGAGCTAAATAAACACACATTCCTTGCCAGAGCGTTCTCTTTTTGCCATTTCATTCCATCAAGCCTTGTGAAATAACACTCGATTATCCTGTGAAATCTGAAGCAATCGACGAGATTTCTCTTTCACCAAATCGGCTTTTAGGGTTCACCAATCTCTTAATGATGAAGCAAGCCTGGCCCCGCAGGCAAGGACAAAAGACAACGAACCAGCACATGTGTGCTGAATTCATTCGCACTTTCCTATTTGCTTCCACCAATTATCGAGCTGTGCCTCCGAACTTTTGTTTCGTCCAGCGACTTAAGTTTCTTTTATTTGGGTACTGTATGTATGTATTATTCCTCTTTGCTTCCATTACTAGTTTCATTAAATAAAAAATTTCGAGATCGATTTTACAAGAAGATGGGCCACCGTCAGAAACCAGGACAAAATAAATATTCCACAAAAGCCCATATATAAAAAGATTAAGTTGGCCCACACGTACATACATATAAACATTTTCAAAAATTCTTATGATAAATAACCGAGTCTAGGTTTGCCGGCCTCCATCGAAATCTTAGCAGGAGCCGCTCTTCCCTTGTCATCTTATCTTCTCCATGGGCAAGAGGCTTTTGAAATGCTCCACATCCACCGAT